TCTTGATTTTTTTTTTATTTTCGTTTGTTCTTTTACCATAAACATTCCAATATTCCTATTGGATATTTTGAACTATTGTGTAAGGAATGTAAACCCTAACTCTATTATTTCCCTTCCATATTCAATTTATGATTTTATTTACTTTTAAGTTCCGGACTTTTACTTCTTTGATCTTTAATGCACTTTATTATCTTATTGTAAGTATCACGCTAATTTAGGTTAAATACCTGCTACACTCTGATTGAATCAATATCCACTTATATACTGGACATTTGATGACATAATATTTAATATGATAAATTTTAACAATCTATAAAGCCATTAACTACTTCGAATAAAACAACTGGTTTGAGTTGGTTTGGGTCTAATGGTTCCTAAATTTTTAAAACTAGCTACTTCAAATATCATATCATCACACTCATGACATATAACATATAAATTAATTCAATCAGAATGTAATATGTATTTAATTTAAGTTCATATGTCACTTCCATTGACGGTGTTAATATGTAACAAAGATAGAATAAATCTTTTTTTTTAAAAAAATACAACAAAAAATACTGTAAAAAAAAATTATATAAATGAATTTGAATATTTTTAAATAGCATAGAAACTAATTTAATATTCTGGCCTAATTATAAATAAATGAAGATAAAAATCTAATTAGTGTAACCATGATTAAATCTAAGATCATTGGGCTAACCAGCCTATCCTCAATTAGTTAATCAACCTATCCTTTATGTGGGGTTTACGCGATAGTTACGCTATATGTAATGATATCAAGAATGAACAGTGACATCGATCTACAAGAAGCTCAACAAATGCTTAAACAAATAATACTGGTGTCATTTGGTGATACAAATTATTATTGTGACAAATAAATTGATTTTGGTTTGAATCATTAGCAGAAATAATCAAAAAATATATATGTTGATGGTTTTATAATGTTTAATTTCATGAAACTAATAACTTCATTCGGTAATGTTTTTGTGAGATTGCAGTAATAAAATTAAATTTTATATACACGATTATGTTCTTTTAATTAGAGTAAATTACAACAGAATACAAAAAAAAAAAAAAAAAAAAAAAACTCAATATAGCCTTATATCATTAAAAAAAAAAAGTTAATTTATAATTTTGATGATCTAGATTTTGAATATATGTACGCGTGTGTGTGTGTGTAGGTCTAGAGGAAAATATGACTCTATTATTATTCTATTGTAAATTTGTAATAAAAATATGTATATTATTTAAATTAAATGTTCTTGATAAATAAAAAATATCCATTAGACATTCTCAAGACAATTTGTTAAACTTTGATGTAAAAAAGTTTCAATCATATTTAAGTATAAAAATAAATCAGTATTGAGGTAATTAAGAAAGTCTAAAGTAACAATTAATATCACAAAATTTAAAGCAAGGGAAAGTTGTAATTAGATTATGGGGTGAGCCGTGCCAAATCCTACCTAGTAATCCAAATTTTGATTAATTAAGAAAAATTAAAGTGATAATTAATATCATAAATAATTCTCAAAATTTTTGGAAAAAAAAAAAAGAAAATCTACTAGTAAAGGATACAAATTTACTTATATTATCTGATTTTTTTTTTTAATAAAAAAAATTGGTATTTACCCTCATTTTTAATATTTCTAAAATATTTAATATTTAAATTTCAAAATATTGTAATCGGCGGCTAATTTATGTTGTAGGTTGGAAATTACTTTATGGAAATGCTAGTTTTTATGTTTGACCAAAATGGTATTTTTTTTTTTTTTAGTTATCAATTGACAAAATATAAAGTTTTTTTTTGACTAATTAACAAGTTGCTCTTCCTCTCAAGTCCTATATAAAAAGCAATCTCATGAACTCTAAACTCACACAGCCACTCACTATTTGCAAAAAACATAATAATAATAATAATAAAAAGTGGGTATTTCTTTTACACATAAAAATGACAAAACTTCCTCGAATCACTCTTTTCTCAATCTTTATTTTCATTCACTTAGCCTCTTCGCTTGCTTCTACCAAACCGCCCAAAATTCCAAAAACACCACCACCACCATATAAACCTCTAAAAGCACCACCACCGCCTCATAAAATACCACCAACCATCGCCCCAATGCCTTCAGTGCCACCACCCACACCGCCATGTTTACCAATTTCGCCACCAATGGTAACACCATCAAAACCACCAACTGTACCAATGCATCCACCATCATCACCACCGCCACCATTTGCACCAACACGACCTCCATTAGCACCACCACCATTTGCACCAACAAGACCTCCATTAGCACCACCACCGTTTGCACCAGTATCACACCATCACAACCACCAACACCACACCATTTGCACCAATTCGACCACCATTAGCACCACCACCGTTTGCACCAGTATCACCACCATCACAACCACCAATATCACCACCGCAATCAACACCACCAATGCTACCACCATCGCAGCCCCTGCCACCACCTCCATCACCGTCACCACCACCGAGTGGAGGAACGTGTCCAATTAACACACTGAGACTAAGGCTTTGTGCAAACATATTAAGTGGGCTAGTGCAGATCATAATAGGACCACGTCAAGCATGTTGCCCAGTGATTCGAGGGCTAGTGAATGTAGATGCTGCTGTGTGTCTTTGCACTGCCCTTAGAGGAAGAATCATTAACGTCAATCTCTTATTACGTGTTGTCACTAGGGTCATGGTTAATGATTGTGGCAGGAGCTTACCACAAGGCTTTCAATGTCCAGCAAAACTATAAGGTATACATTTAGTTTCTAATTGCAATATATTATATGACACACACATATATATATATAATTTAAATAATAATATTATTTAAGCTTGTTAATGCATAAGCTAGAGCCAAAAAGAAAATATACGTCAATTTCCATACCTGTGAATAGAATTTTCCACATAATACTAGTCTAATTTAATTTATAATATATAGTATGTAATTTATTGTAAAAACTATAGAAATTAATCTCTTTCATTTCTTCCAATTTATTTATGTTAATGATGTTGGTGCAGGGCTGGTTGCAGTCAATGTATTTACAATAATACGGAGAGAGCATCTAATATACAAATTCGATGTCTGCTTCAACAATAAAACATATTTAATTTAAAGCACTATAAATGTCTTTAATCAAAAAATTTCTGTATCTTCCCCGGAAGAAGGGTCTATATAAAATATATGCTATTTAAAAAATGTTCTTCAAATATTTCATTTCCTATACGCATCCATTTTTTCAAATGAATAAATTATTAATAAAATGGTACCATAGGATAAAATCAATACAAGAAGATTATTACGTTATAAGTTGAAATTTTTATGAGATATATGTTATAATTCTATCAACTAAAAATTTTATTAAAATTAAAATTGTGCCATTAAAGATTTTAATTAAACGTCACAACTATGTTAACCAATTAATAGTTCTATTGAAATTAAAAATTTTTAATTATTATTATTTTTAAAATTAATTATCATATTAATAATTCTAAAATCTGCCCAATTAAAAATTTTATTAGATATTGTGATTATATATTCTATATAGAGATAATATTATCTACTTCAATTTTAAAACTTTAAAAATAAAATTAATACAGTAATGCACATAATTATGAGGAGGCCCAACTGAGCAAAATAAATAAATAAAATTCTCGAATAAATGGGTCTATAATACTTAATGGGCCGTCTGTAAATTCCTAAGGGTCTGGTAAAAGAAGAAGCTTAAAGGCAAGGAATCCGAAGGGTAAGGCCCAGTACAAGTTTCCGGTGAGAAAATTAAAAGAAGAAATTAAATAATAATAATAATAAATAAATAAAAATAAAGGAACCTTGGAAGACAATTATATAGTATAACCCTAAGGAAATATATTAAACGGGAAAATAAAAGAGAAGAGAATTTAATAACGAAATGACTGCCATGGGGAAATCATAATACGTTAGATTTTAGAGGTTCAAATTGAATATTAAGGATCAATGGAAAGAAAATTTGGAAGTAATAAATAAATAAATAAATATATATATTAATTATCAAATCAAGATAAGAAACGTTGGTAAATATCAAAAAAGAAAGTAAGTAGACATAAGATTAAATTTAAAACATAATGGATTGACGTAATGAGTCAAAATATTTTAAATCTGTTTGGTCTTAGATTAAGAAGGGGTGTATGCGTGTGTGGTCGAGATTCAGTCGACGTGATAGCAAACCCTATTATGTGAGCTAACCATCATATTGTTATTATGTCTTTTTTTAGATGTATCGTATCGAATTTACATTAATAGTAGACACGTTTATTATTCTCACTGATAGAGATTAAAACGACATCATATGATAAAATTGAAAAGTCTAAAGTGTTTATGAGCCTTTGTAATAATAAATTTGAATGTGGTAAATAAATTAAATTGTATCGTGTTATATCGTATCGTATTATATTGAGAAGGTGATCATAATAATTGACTATAGTATATCGTGATTAAATTAAAAAGTAAAAAAATGAAATGATTGCTTCGAAAAGTATAACTAAATTCCCTTGTAAATTTTGATTATTTAGTTTTCTCTCTATAATATGGTAATGAAAATTGTGAGTGTGAAAGAATGAACATTGTATGAGAAAAAGAGAAGATAATCATTTTAAATAAGTGAAATGAAGATTAATTGTGTTTCATCTAAGCTCTCTATAGACATGGATACACCATTAGTTTCGAGATGGGACACAAAAAGAATTTATATGTATTCAATGAACTCTGTAAGTTAGGATTTTAATTATTCTGATTGAATATATATAACTCATTCTAATTTTTTTTTTTCAGATAGGAGACCCAGAATTGAAACAAAATGTAATAGACTAAAATGACGTCATTTGGAAACTCCAAAACTACGCCGTTTTAGTAAAAAAAAAAGGATAAAAATGACGTCGTTTTAGAAACCCCAAAAACGATGCCATTTGGGTAAGGAAAAAAATTAATTTTGACCAAAGGCCCGTTCGCCTTTAGTCGGGGAAGAAGAGGAAGAAGAGGCGTGTACGCCTTTTCTCTCCATCGAAGAAGAAGGGGGAAGAACCGTGTAGGGCTCTCCTCTCTCCGGCTATAAATCGAGTAGAGAAAGAAAGAGTCGTGTGAAGAGAGAGAGGGAGATCGATGTAGGAAGAGAGAGAGATAAAGGGGGAGAGAGAAAGAGAGAGAGGCTGCAGTTATCACCAAGTGACAACTGAGAAAAGAGAGGAAGAAGAAGAAGGAGAAGGAGAAGTGGTGCTGCACGTGGCAGTAGGACCGGAGAGGAATAACTCCGCGGTGGCGGCCAAGTGCGGCTTTGCATTCTCGAGAGTGCTTCGGTGTGGTACCACTAGATCTATGTTGCATTTGAGGGCACAAAGAGTTTTGCAGTGAATTTCAACCAATCCACAGTGGTGATCGATGACGATCAACAGCGGTGCATAGCGGTCCGGTGACGGCACGTGTGGAGGCGTGTAGATTTCTAATGGTTGCACGCAATGAGTCCTATGAACCCAGTTCCGGTAGGTGATGTGATAGCTTGAAAATACCTCAGAGTAAATTTATTATATTTGATATATTTAATTTAGTTTTACATGTGTTTGAAAATATATAATTAGGTTACGAATATAGTAGAGAGTCAAATGAAAAAAGTATAGATAAAGATGAAGAAGCTAGAATAAGCATGAAGAGGCATGAGAAAAGGTGAAAATATTTTAAATAAAGTGTTATAATGAAAAGTGATAGCTATTAGCAAAATAACATAATGAAAAATGACAACTTATAAATAAAGTGACATGTGAAAAGTGGTAACCTTTTAGATGAAGTGGCATGTGAAAAGTGTTAATTTTTTAGATGAAGTGACATGTGAAAAGGTCTTTTAAATAAAATGACAAGTAAAAAGTGGTAACTTTTTAGATAAAGTGGCATGTTAAAAGGCATTTTAGGTAAAATGACATATGAAATTTGGTAACTTTTTAGATGAAGTGGCATGTTAAAAGGTTTTTTAGGTTAAACGATATATGAAGAGTAGTAACCTTTTAAGTGAAGTGACATGACGAAAGGTGATAACTTTTAAATGAAATTGTAAGACGGAATGGTGACAACTTTTTCCTCGTGGCTACCCACTTCTATAAATAGGGGATAAGAGAAGGGAGGAAAAGATAATCTAAATGAGAGAAAAATAATAAGAAGTATAGAGGTAAAGGAAGAAGAGAGAGTACGAAGTGTGTGATATTTGAGAGTATTTTGAAGTTTTAGATAAAAATCTTGGGGAAACTCTGCTAAATTTATGAGAGCAGAGAAAAAGGAAGAGAAGAAGAATAAGACTCATGATCAAAAGTAAGTTATAAACCGTTAAAAAGATAAGTTTTTTCTTAAGTTTTGAAGTTCGGTTTCTCTTTGATTTCTGGGATTAGTTTTTGAGTATTGCGTTAGATATTTTTGAGTCAAGAAAGTGACCAAAAATCATCTCGAAACTCTACTGAATTTTTAGAGGAAAAAGTCATAAATAAAGGCAGAACTCTATCAGAATTAACACTACAACTGCTAAGGACGTAAGGTAAGTAGATATTATGAATTCTTAGCCTATGTAGTTTTGAAGTATTTTATGTATTTTCAGTATAAAAATGTGCACATGTTTAATTTGTCTTTCGTATTTGTTAAGTAAGTATTTGTTAAAGTTTTACTTCGTTATAAATTTATTTCACTTTATGTTTTTGAAATGTGATTTTAATATGTGTGCATCACTCATTATGGAAAGAAGTTATCCAAAAGCACTGCATTATGCTAGGCTTCAATCTGACCGTACATAACTGTTCTGTGTTCGAGTGTACTGGTAAAGTGATAAGTGTATACCCATACATAACTGTTCCGTGTTCGAGTGTATGGGAAAATAGTATGATCTGCGTGCCCTAACCGTTCTGTATTTAGGGGATAACAATATTTTAAGGTACTCATATATGTCGTTCCATGTTCGGGTACATGAGGAATTAGTGATAAGTATCTGTGCTTATGCATAATCTACAATAATTGATTGATTCTCCATAATAGTGATGAAGTATACAACATGCATTTGTTTTCTAATTTGTGTTTTTGTATTCTGATTCGTATATGTTTTGGAAAGATTATATAATATATGTTCTGTTGTGTGTAAAGAAACTATATATTGCATGTACTATATTATGATTTCATAATATTGCTTATTGAGATATTTTATCTCACCTCTCTTATCACCCTCCAGATACAGAAGATACCGCTACAGAGTGAACGGTGATACAGAAAAAATCTCTGTAACCTATACTCTGATATTAAGATTACTATTTCTTATTTTTGTTTAATAATATAAGTAAAGAAATTTAGAATCTCGTACATATGTTTATATTTTATATTTAAGGGATATAACATTTCTGTGACCTTTTTATTATTAATAAAGTTAAGTTATTTTATTTAACTCGAGTCTATATGATTTAAAAAAATATGCTCTGGTCATTATCCTATAAGACAGGGTGTGATCTGTGACAAGTGAGTTCAAAAACTCTGATAG